TTAGTAAAAGAATTATTATAGTTAAGATAGAAGGGTAAGTAATACGTAATTAAAATAGTAGTATATTATAAGTAATAAGTTATTTAGCGAACGTATATACCTCTTAGGCTTTAGCTTAGAGAAAAACGTACGTATTCGGGGCGTAATTAAACTAATAAAAAGCTCTTTTTTAACTATATTAGATTTAATAATTTCTAAGGAGTTTAGATATATAAATTATATATATTAAAAAATTAAGAAGTAATTAAAAAAAGGGAATAATAAAATTTCTATATAAATAATTATAATAGAAGCTATACTAAAATTTTAGTATATAGCTTTAAATATTTTTAAATAGGGGATTAATAACGGATTTTATTATTAGTTCTTATTAGCGGGGGACCTAGCCCCTATTTTACCCTTTTTTATTATAAAAATAAAAGATTATTAATATTAAATTACGAAGTAAAAAAGGGACCTTATTAAGTAGTTAGGTAGGGGTAGTAAGTAAGTAGTCTAGGCCTATATAAACGGACCCTTTTACTTACTTATACTTATAAAGGGATTGCGGGCCCTACTTACGATCTTCCCCTCTTATATATATAATAGACCTATACTGACCTATTGACCTAGTTGCGACTAAAAGGTCTAACCTGCCTACGTGTATATTAATACTTACTAACCTATATAGAAGTTATTAGAAGTCTTAATTTTTTGAGATAAAGTGGACATGAGCTTGAAGGGTTGCAATAATACATTGTATTAATCAGCTGCATTAAAAGATTTATGTTGTACAAAAATTTTAAAAGCTAATTATGTAAGTTTCGTTTTTGACCGCAAGTCTAGCTATAGACATCCATCGGGTTCCAACTCTTAATCAGAACTATGCTCTTCTTAGCAGTAACATAAGACGGAATATGCTCAGCAAAAAGATCGCTAAAAAAAAAAAATTAAGAGAATAGAAAATTGGGAAACATAAGAACGAAAGGAGCAACAGCGTTATTTGTAACATCAAGTACATCTAGACTACCCCTACCTAGTGCATGTTTGATATCTGTACAGGACCGTCTCCCCAATCTTAGCCAAAAGCAACCTGAACTTCTATTTCAAATTCGGCTAACCTTGTGTAAGTATTGACCTCGACTGGTATCACGGTATTCAAGCAAGGATTCAAATTACAGCCGAGAAATATCCGTTAATAGTTCATTGAAGCCGCCATCGACTTTTCTAACAACGGGATCCAAATTTCTCTGAAAACGGCATGGATCCCCTTGAACCATTGAACGTTGACAGGGTTGTCATCTCTTAGCTCCAAACTCAAACTCAAAATCGTCTGAACAATGGGAGGGAAAAAAATCCCCCCAAGTCTGACCCCACCAAAACATCTCAAGATAGTTTGGCCTGGAGCGGGTAAAACGGGTGCTCCCGCTTGTAACGGTGACGTTTAGGACGGAGATGGAAAAGGCTCAGAGAAACATCCCTTTTGGCAAAAGCGTGTTTTTTTTTCTCTTCGTCCGTTGTCTGCTTATTCTTGCATTATTCAGCATTGGGCTCCGGACGAACTCAGCCCGACGACATGTCAAAGAGACGGACGTTCCTTTTCTCTCTCTCTAGTTTCTCAGTGACATTCTGAGACCCGCCTTGTCGCTGGGTAGGTTCATGACTAACGTTACGGGAGTAAGAGTGCATCATGGATTTCTTGCCCACCGGTTCGACTTGCCCTGCATCATCAACTCTGAGAATAACTGCGCCCCTGACAGACGGTTACACAGATCATCTACCAAAAAAAAAAGTGTTGACAAATCCCATGATCGCCTAGCACCCTTTTCTTCTCCAGCCTCTTGACTATTTCCCCTAAGTCCCATGGCAATGCGATGGGAATCAAGCACAGTAGGTACGCGCAACGCCAGAACCGAAAATCGCAACACTTTTACTGTCACACACATGCAAACAAGAGAGACATTGCCTGGGCTCTCGTGAACAAAAGTGCATCAATACACCTGAGCGACCATCACCGGAAGGTTCACCATGCCCTTCAGGTAGAAGTTGGCACGTGGGTTGGTCAGGTGTACCTTGGCATGTTGGGCATAAAGGTAGAAATCCCCCCAATCCTCCCCCATTGCCTGCAGCGAATATTACCCCACCCTCAGGTTTTCCCTCCTTCACCGAGACCACGGCCAATAGGGACGGCCCGGTCGCATCACCACCACACATCCATCCATCCTTTCGTCACATCCGCCAGAAATCACCCTCACTCTTGTTGAGCTCTTTCAACCTAATGCCTGCCCGCATACACGCGATTTAGAATCCTACCATCTGGCCCTCCCCCCACAAGCCTCAGGGACGAGAGACCTTGCGGCACCTCCGTCCCGTATGGGGGGAAGGGAAGTCTAATTTGGACTCACGTCAAAAATTGGAATCAAACCAACACTTACTTGCTTTCGGTGAAACAACTGTGATATTGGGGATTCCGCCAAGGTCAAGTGGGTGGGGATTCCGGAGAAAGATTCTAGAGCACACCACGTCAACATGTTGCCCACCGGGAGAACATGGATGTTGGGGGGATTCGGGAGGTCGCATTCTTTTTCCCCTTCCAGGCATCTCTTCTCGTTGGATTCTCCTTCTTCCCACCCCCTTGTATTCCGTATAGTTCAGTTGCATTCGTTCACCCGTGCGCCAAAGTGAGAGGCGCCCGCGGCAGTTGGATAGTTACGTTCCGTTCCGTGCGCTGGGAAGGCTACCTTACCGTAAGGAACGCGGGGGGGGGGGGGGGCGAGCGGGCGGGACGGGAATCTGGAACTCAAACTGGTGCCTGTTTTAATTTCCTGGCGGGTACCTTACAATGCAACGCTTCTCATTTTTTTTTTTTTTCAACCGCTACTGTCTAGAGCCCAGACAAGCAAGACAGGCATGGCAGATATTTCCGCGATGATCACACATGGGAAATTGATCGTTAGACCTGGCCCCAAATTCCCCGAATCGAGCAGCTCTTCCCAAATAGTAGAAGTACCATGTATGTGGGGGGTCTCTCTCATCCTCACACGCATACACACACACCTGCACTCACTCACCAAATCTCTCTCTCTCTCTTCAGTCCCCTTGCCTTTCCATCTTCCGTGCTTCCTCGATATACCTTGCCTCGTTCTTACGTACATTACTGGCCAGGCCAAGCGTTCCATTGCATATAGGCACAGAATCAACAACTCATTCCGCCACTCCCCCCTTCCACCTCACGCCTACGCACTCAACAGCCGCATACGCACACATACACGCCCATCCTTCGCTCCCCCACTCCCCATTTCCTTTCTGTACTCCCTACACACACCTATCATCGACGAAAGAAAAATAAATTGAGATGGATGGCATAGTGCATCAGGGGAACCAGCAGCCGCGCTCCGGCCGACACCCAAACCCGGGTGACAGAACCAACCCCAGTGACAAGGGGTCTTTTTTCTTCCCCTTCTGCTCCAGCCACGCGATCAGCCAGCCCGCCGTCCACGCTGGGAGCTTTCCTTGGTATTCCATCATAGGTACGAAGTATATGCAGCTACCAACCCGGCTGTGAGTCCCGGCGTCTGTGTGTGTGTGTGTGCGTGCGTGAGAGCGCGTGTGTAACGTGTTGCAGACCGCCTTTTCGTTTACTGCCATCGGCAGTATCGATACCCGCGTCCCGTCATCTCTGCTCATTCGTCTGACGGGGAGTCTGAGCCTCATCAGTACAGCTGAGGATGATCAATCATCAAAGACCTCAAGGTGGGTGAGGATACCTACTGCAGATTACTCACTCCGTAATTGTCAGTCGTCCCCCTCAAGGCCCGGAGAGTCCACTCACAGATTAGTGAATCTCTATTCTCTGTCCTGGCCCTGGCCCGTGGAAAGCTTTTCAGCAGGACTCTCTCTCGCCTCCAGCTACCGGGCCAACATTACGCTTGGGCGAGACACACATGCTGCACGCCGGCATGGAAGCCTAGCAGCTATTAAACGCAACAATTACCACTAGGCCGGATTCGTTCACTTTTTCGTTCACCGCGCATGAAAGAGAGAGAAATAGGCAGTCATAGTTGGTAATTGGTAAACAAAAATTGGTATCAATAATCCTAACTTCTCATACGTGCGTTCGAGGCATCCACCACAAGCAAGGGGCACATGATACTCGGGATCCTTCCTATCGGGCCCAGTTCCAATGTCGACCCGAAGACAAAACAATGAGAAAAATAACAGTACACAAAAAGGTTGTGTTTGACGCTTATTCCCAACTCCATCGTGTTGCCACGCTTTTTGCCCCATCATATCCCAATGCAAATCCCAGGGGTATCTGAAGAGTCTAGTAACTCTGTTGGGAGGCCAAATTTGTTTTCCTCTCTTTTTCATTCCGCGCGCCGCTTTCATCCAAATGCACGCGTCCCAATCCCGTTGGGTGGTCTGAAAACTCCCATGACGCATCATGCAACAGCCCAACCTTCCGTGTGCCATGAACCCCCGCCTCCCCTCTCTTTGATGTATGTCCACTCACAGGCCAAAATGCCTGGCGAAAAGCCACCGCCTGCGTGTAAATAATGTTGTTCACCTCTCCCGAGTTTCGGGTCTCGGAAGAGTTGAGAATAAAGAAGAAACCGCTCAACAGCTCAAGGACTCGAAACTTTCGTACACTCCCCGTCGTAAGTAATATAACCTTAACCGCAGTATAGAAAATCCAAGGGAAGACACAAAAGCCAATCATTACCGCCTTGCTGAACAAGTGGACGACGACTTCAAGGAAATAACACCAAAACAAGAAAATTGTTCAGACAGCCGCCTCAACCCAATAATTACCGCGAGAAATGACGCCCTGGATCAATGTTCGATTTTGTTTTCCAATGGACTACTTCGTCTCAAGCCTTGTCGAGCACGTCCGAATGTTGCTTTTCTTTACTCCGTTCCGTTCTTGTGGTATATACTCGATGTGATTCGCGGTCGTGTATTCGTGTGTGTTGGGAAACGTTGACGTATGTGCGTGGGATCGCTTGGTTGCGATTTGGCCCCTAGTAGATGGCATGGCTGGACTGGTGGTACATGCGATCTCGGTAGGCAGGAGGAATACCATCATATCTGGGGCTGCTTGCGCTCGAGGACTGATCCATATCCGTGTCGTAAACCTCGTAGCCGTGCTGGTGATGTTGCATGTACTGTTCCGGGGGAGGCAGCCTCTTCGAGCTGTATGCTGCGAGGCTCGCGGGATTGGGCACGCGCTTGACCGGGTAAGATGAGGGAGCAGTCCTGGACTTCGAGACACGGTTGCTGACCCTGCGGTCCTTGCCACGGCCCTTGATGCCCTTGTTGCTGTTCTTGTAGAGGTTGGCAAAGTACCAGTACATCTCTCGCTGGTCATCGGACAAGCCGTCAATATCGGAAATGGAGACAATCCAGTCAGTCATTTCCATGAGGGTCTTCTCGTGGTACTTGTTTTGATGGTTCTGATGCCAAGTTAGCTGGATGGCCGTAAGATAAGTCACCCCGACTCTACACACCTTGAGGTTGCCTCTTTGGGTAAACATCTTGTTGCATTGGTCGAGCTTGCAGACGAATGGCTTCGCATTAGTGTGTGTGGCCATGTGCGTCTGGAGGTTGCCACGCTGGGCAAACACTTTGCTGCATTGCTCGCAACGGAAGGGCTTCTCGCCGGTATGGCGGCGCATGTGAGTCTGTAGGATGGTTAGTGAGGCCGTGCCGTGTTTGCTTCAAATCGGATGAACCAACCTTGAGGTTACCAGGTTGCGAGAAGGTTCGCTCGCAATTCGGCCAAGTGCATTTCTGCGAACAGTCAGCGTCATCCACATCACATTCGACTAGCTATGTGTACTTACGTATGGCTTTTCACCGGTGTGGGCGCGTTTGTGAGTGTCCAAGTGGGTGCTTTGATAGAAGCTTTTACCGCAGCCATCAATGTCACAGACGTAACGCTTGGTCTTGGGAGCATCCGACGAGTCTGTCGTTGTCGAGGGTGTCGGGGCCGAAGCAGCCGGGGTCGGTTCGGGCTGGACATCGTCAGCTCAGTCACTCAAGCCAGCGGACGCAGAATCGGGTCTTACCTTGGGAGATCTAGGCTCCGGCTTGACAACCTGTTCGGTCTCTGGGACGCCCTTGACAATATCCTCAGTGTCGTGCCTCTTCTGGATCGCCTTCATCAGAGTGTCGATAGCAGTGGTGAAGTTCACTGGGTCCGCGCTCGTGGGCTTGTTGAACTTGATTTCCTTGGTGTTGAGGGGGTGGGGCGTCTTTGGGTTGCTCATCTTCGTCTCGCTTCGGGTGGATGGGCTGCGATGTCGGTCATTCTGTCCCGAAGGTGACTCCTGAGGGTAGGAGCTGGCTCGCGGGACCTCATGCGCTGGGGCTACTACAGGCATGATCGATCGTTCTTGTTGCGCTGGCAGTCTGAAGGGCATGTTCATATTGGCCGGAGGTGAATCGTACTGAGCATATGCGAAGTGGTTTTGGGTCGGGCAGTGGTGGCCCATTGCCGGCATAGATGCGACACCGTAGTGGGAGCCAACCATGTAATGCGGAGAGATAACAGTGCCGTTCATGGGGGCAGAGGTAGCCGCTCTCGAGTCGTACTGCACAAAGGCTGTGTTATCCATCATCGCGTAGTCATGGCCGGCAGGCTGCTGCTGCCAGCGACCCCAAGCCTGGGGCGGGGCTGTCTGTTCCGTCAAGGCCATGTTTGCGAAGCCAGAATGAAGAAACAGTAGGTTGGCAGCGTTAAGTGTGGTTGTTGGATATAATCAGCACGAGGTGATGGACAAGTCAATGCCAAAGTTGATTGACTCCTGCCTTGTGTCTGGAGTGTGTAGAGTACGATGAAAGAGATGGATCAATGGTTGGTGCCAAAAAGAAAGAGCAGAGGTAAAGCGTTGACTGCTTGGGGGGAAGCTGAGTGTTTGTGATCTCTCGTGGCAAGATGTCGAGAAAGAAAGGAGGATGGAGGCGGGTAGATGTAGTTTCGGGACAGAGTCAAGAATGGACTCGTGGTATAAAGTGCGGGAGGGGATAGCGGATGTGCGGCCGGGGTTGAATCCTGGAAGCCAATCGACTGGATTTGGGTCCCGAAGATCTCAGCACTAAATATACATGCATCCAAAGCGAAACCAGCAAGGACCCAGACAGTGGGTTGGTGAGAGGAAAAAAGAAGGGTTGAAGGCCAGGACCAGAACATGGAGAGTTTGTGGAAATCATGGACCCCCACCACGACGAGCAACACGGAGGACTTCCATAAAAGCCGGGGTAGCGACTAAGCGGGCCACGACCCGGTCGACGCGGACGAGGACGAGACCTTGCTCTTGCTGTACAGGGTGGCCAAGTACAGGAGGGGAGGGGGAGGGGCGCCTGGGAAGTCGACCTCAAGGGGGGGGGGGGGGGTGGGAATGGGAATGGCAAGAGGCGTCATACCCATACCCTGCAACTGACTGAGCTCAGAGGTCGGCATAGGATGCATTCATGTCTCTCTCTCTCTCTCTCTCTCTCTCTCTGGGTCTAGGTACTAGTCTCCCCTCATAAATGATGGAGGCGCCTGCGATGAGCAGCGTTGAAATTCTCTTAGAGGCGAAAGTAGGACCAACGGCTGGCCGATCGAGGAACAGAATGAACCTCGGAACAGACTAGACAAGGGGAAGGCATGCCTATCTGGATAGAGGCGCTGCGTAGAAATCGAAAGGAGGAGCCTCGGTTGCTCGAATAGACAGAAATAAGACATTCTGGTAAAGACGAGTTCTTCATAGGGGGCAACTTACAGGTCGTCAGTTGGACTAGTTCGCAGGAGAGCTCATCTCATCACTGTCTGCGGTTAAGGATAGGCAGGCGAATGGTGAGAGAGTGAAACAAGCATAATGTGGGAATCTCAAATAAAGACAGTCCCTTGTCCTCGGCCAGGTCGCTGTGGCCTCGATTCGTTGTTGCTTATTCTTGAAGTGGACGTGCAGCATGGCGACATGCGGCTTGGGTGTAGACCAGATCTGCCCAAATGGGCGCCATTCTTTCTTTTTCATGAGAAGCTAGGATCGCCGGGAGGTCGATATTGCAGCCGGAAGGCAAGGCGAAGCAGGGGATGGCGGCGGAGGAACTTTTCGAAGAGCGTCGAGACAATATGAGAAGAGACAGAGATATTGATGGATTCAGGTATCCGTACGGACTACCTGACCTACGGACCAGATCTCATGATAGCGATCACGATGGCGGAAAGATGCAGGTAGCCAATGTGGGAGCTGGTCATCGGTACCATGCCAGGTACACTCTTCAAAGTTCAAGCAAGGCCAAGGATTGACACTTTGCAGAGTGAGGCGGGTGGAAGGTGTAGGTCTTCGTGCGTAAACAAGGTGTCGTAGTGGTAGGGTGATATCGAGCTGAGGTCGATCTTGAAGGTAATGACGACGAGGGTCTTGCCAGTGAGGCTTTGCAAGAAGAGATTTCAGGCACAGGTACGAAGGTCAAGAATAAAGATTGAGCGAGCGTTGATAGTACCTCAAGCTACCGGGCCGGTTCGAATACATGGAGTTTGGGCAAGACACAGCAGACTGGTCAAGCTGAGATACGGATGCAGGAGTGAGGTGAGTGTGAGAAACGGAGACTTGCTTCCAATGCTTGGCAGCCATGAGAGAGACACTCAAGACATTCAAGACCAAGTGAGACTCTCGAGTCTCGAGAAAGGGCCGGACTATGGAACAGGGATTCCCTAGCCACTGAATTCTTAATTTTTCGTGCAGGCGGGCGGGACTGACGGCAAGGGAGAAGGAGGAGAACAGGGACGTGCCATTGGTATCCGTACCATGGGATGGAGGATGGAGTCCTCCGCAGGTATGGATGGACTATGGACAGAAAGAGGGGGGCGTGAGATGAGTGTGCTGGTCCTCACACGGGGTGTTGAGTTGAAAATGAAGTGAACTTGTGAAGTTGGATACCACACCCTGCGGTGCGGCCTGCGGCCTGCGACATGCCCTGCACTTGACTGCAGCCGTGGGAGTGGGGAATAGGGAGATTTTCAAGGGTACGTACTTCCCGAAGCCTTACCTAAGGCTTAGCAGGTACGTACCGTCAACTCTGTCCCCCATCTCATGTTGGTAAGGTACTCAAGTACCTTGGTGTAAGGTCAGGTACGGAGCACCGTCCGTCCTCTTCCACCCATGGTAGGAAGTGGTTACCTGACCTTATTCGCAGCTGCCTTACCTTCCAATGTCCATTACCTTACCTTAAGTCCATCATACCTACCTTAGCTTAGGTACGTACAAAATACACTAGTGAGGTAGCTTACGCGCGTGCAAGTGCTGTGCGGGTACATTCGGGAACCTCACCCCTCCTTGCCTTCCCACCCCCCTTCAACGTCGAGCTGCTCTTGCGGCTTGCCCCAAGCTTCCCGTCAGGTCCCCTACCTCTGGTGCTTGGGCATATGGGATCACATCAACATCCTTCCTTGCCTCTTACCCTGTCCTTACCTGAGGTGCTCAGGAACCTCACCATGGGAAGTCATCGACGGCTTCTTCCATCACCTAGTTCCTCCCTCTCCCTATCTTTACGCCTAAGGTAGCCAGTGGTATTTGCAGAAAGAGTGCGAGAGGCAGGCACAGAATCACACAGGGACGGGTCGTCTACAGTCCTCGCCTACCGTCTGAAGACTGCGACTCTGGCGTCGAAGCCACAGCCGAGAATCTGGGCATTCTGGACCACCAGTTTCTGCACCAGACATGTCACCGTCGCTATGAACTTGCACACACACACACACACACACACACACACATCCTCTCAACTTCGTGGATACCTTCCTGATCCCTGGCCCGCTGTCCTCCGTTTGCTTGTTGGCCACGTTTGAAATCCTCCGTTCATGCACCAATCTGTCAGCACTTTTTTTTCGTCCCCCTTCACGGCTTTCCTAAAGAAACCTCACCATCGGAAGCTGCGTGTCTGGATCAGGCCAGGCACACATAGTACACACTCTCTACGTGCTGCGGTAGACGGCGCAAGCAAACATGGCACCCCTGTTCTGCCCAGCTCCGCCAAATGAGAATCGTTCGTTTTTCGGGGCCGTTGTTTGCCTGTCTGCTGTCATTGGCAATACTATTCAGAGGCACCGACTTGATCGTCGCCATGGGCTTCTTTGTTCGGCATTACCTCAGCCCTGTCGTCTCGAGAACGAACGCTCCTAAATCCAATCCAAAGCCAATCCAAAGCCAACAGAGCAACGCCAAAGAGCTCTTTGCAGGCTAGGAAGGCAAGCCACCTATTCGCACACATAAGGCTTCTGCGAACCACGGGATTCGACCATGTCGATGTCGATTCGGGCTACGGATACTATCGATCACGGCTGCTGAGCGCCTCGTATTGAGCCTCCCACCTCCCGCCTCATTTTAAATGTCCCATATGAGCATCGGGCTGTGTGGCTTGTACCCACCCTACCACCTCACCTCAGAGGTTCACCCGCCATACGGATACAGGCACAGTCAACACCCATGGCGTCCCCGAGCTTTGACAGCTCGCAACAATGCCTTTTTCTCCGTCCGTTTCGAACGTCTCCGTGCTCTCTACACCCGCCAACCCCAGTATGCTATACCGGCTTGGCGCCACCGCAAGGCCGTACTCCCAGTACCCTTCCTGTCGCCCGTAAACAACCGGGCCAGTTTCGGAAGAAAACATCTTTCATTACGATCTGATGACTAGACTGGCATAACAATTACCTTGCGCACTTGCTCCTGGTTCCTAGCTGGAGCAGGAAACTCGAATTTTCCACAGTCGACGACCGTCGACACCATGAGAAGGATTTGGACATCTCGTCATCATCAACTTTGTCACTACCTATCTGCTTGGTCGAACCTCTATACTCTTCATCAGCGCCCGTGAGGATCTGAGACTCGAATTCTCACTCTCGGCAAATGGACCAATGATTACGTTTACGGCGTTGGCCGCCTACGGCTGGACTGACGATTTGAGAATCCTCACGCTACACAGTCTCCACGACGGGTGGGAACGGCGGTTCGGTCGAATGATGGCACCTTAAAAGATGATCCTTTTGCATCGCCAAAACCTCCGAGCTGCAATGACAGGGGGAAAGGAAGGCAGAGACTGCAGTGCTGTGCCTTGTCTTTCGCAACTCAGCATCATAATCGGAACTTCAGGGATGTGCTGCCTCCGGTGGTCCCCGGTGGCCCCCTACTCTCCACCTGGCCCTGCGATCTGTCGGGGTCACGCTGCGATCATGGATCTCAGATTGGCTCTATCACAGAGCCCCATGTGTTTGCCAGCCGGCTCAAGACTCGAGGTGTCCTGACGTCGCAGCGACAGGAGTTGCTCAACTCTTCCGGCCCGCACTCTGGAAAATTACGCGACACGGCCCATCTCGCAGCTGCATCACGATAATACTGGAATCTGACATATCCATCTTTAAGCCATTTTGGTATGTTAACACATGATTAGGCAACTGGAGGCGAACTCAATCTTCTCTCTTTGTTTCCTGGTCTCGGCGACACTCCGAGGGATCTTGCGAGCTTTTTTGTTTCCACGTGCGGCAGCAGTGTTCTGTACCAGCGCCTTTTTTCCGGCCTGCATCGAGTCGTCTACGAATACGCGTTGTTCACGACCATTATTACAGATACGCACGTTTGAAGAATTCAGTGCACGCAAGGGATTTCGCAAACCTGGTCGAGACGATTTGGGGAGTAGCCAACCAACCCACTGCCGC